TGAGCATCATCCCAATGGGGAAAGTTCACAAGCGGAAACTGAGGACGATGAAGCCACAGAAAACGATGACGATGAGTTGACCAATCAGAGAGTTGTTGCAGCACCTGTACGAAAGAAACCGAAATTAACGAAACAACCGCAAAAAGATCCAAAAAAGGCACTGATAAACGCTGGCGGGTCGGATGGAATGACTGCATTGCATATGGCTGCTGAACGAGGGCACGAAGAGGTCAGCCATTCAAGATAACGCATATTTTTTGTTATTTTTAGACTTAGAAGTATTACTGTGACTGTCATCATGATTACTATCATGAATATTATGAATATCATTATGATCAAATCACTTCATAATTTGATCTCAGTTTTGAGCAAAAAAAATTTAGTTTGAAACATCTAATAGTTTATATTGTTAATTGTCATGTGGTGAAAGTGAATCCGTCCGGGGATTACGTTATCATTGAGCAGAGACAAGAAAAGTCCAACAGTCAAATTTAGCTGACTTTCTTCTCGCGCATCTTCTCCTATAATATACATTATTAAGGTTGTGCGTTTGTTACTATCCGATAGTAACATTAATGTTGAAGCAACAACGCATGCAAGCAAAAACAAGCTGACACCGTTGATAATGGCTTGCCGAATGGGCTTTCGGTTAGTAGTAATCGTCGAGTCGTATTTCATTTTACTCGTTCTGAAATTTTCCACTTACGTTCGGTGCATTTGAATGGCGATTTTGTTGAATGGCGATTTCAAATCACCATGAGTGAGATATTCAAATGTTAACGACGACGAAATTTTATTTTGATTGAACGAGCGTGAAAATTTTTTGAGGAATATTGCCGATATCCTCATCGATGAGGGTCATGCGATTGTGGAAAAAGGTGATAAGTTGAAGCGTACCGCATTGACTCATGCTGTATTGAACGGTCAAAATCACATAGTGGCAATGTTGTTGAGACGTGGTGCATCGCCGTGTACACAAGACTCGTCGGGCAATACACCGACACATTATGCAGCCGCATACGGATGGTCACTTCTTGTGTTTCTTCGGCCCTTTCTCACTAGATATTCCACTCTCATAGAATTCATCATTTTGAATGGTGATNCCGGCACATTATGCAGCAGCATATGGATGGTCATTTCTTGTCATTTCATTGGCCCTTTCTGAAAAGATATTCCATTTTGACTGCTACTGTCATAGAATTCATTATTTTGATTGGTGATATTCGAGTACTGTATGAGTACAAATACATTTTCATAGAAGCATGATTGAATCATGAAGAATCGTTTCACTTACTCAATGTGAAAGAAAAGTCCTTCAGGTAGTAGGTTATGGATCCCACATGAAGTTGTCTAACCCAAAAACACTTTAAGTATCGTATTCTAAGCGGTATGGAGCAAATTGATTCCAGGTTTTGACTAGAGAATCTGAATCCAGAGAAATTTTCTGCAGGTATTTTGAAATATCCTTTCAAATATTGCCCAATTCCAGGTTTGAATGTTTAGAGATGTTAGCCAAAGCGGATTCATCGTGTTTGGCTATTGACAATGACTGGCATCTTTCTCCACTTGCTGTCGCCTATTTGAAAGGTTCATCCATCTAATCGCCTTTTGGTTTAACTTCGTTCAATACGTTCAGTTGTCTATTGTCTATCTTTTTACCGAATATCTAGACGAGAGCATCAGCTGTTGTCTCCTTTATAAGCGATTTTAACATCGAAACCTTGGAATCGCTCAGTTCGAAGTCTGAAATAGAAAAACAGGAATTTCCCCTTGTGAGTTTGCACTGGTATGTTATATCGAGGCTAGCAGCGTATGGCCAGATCTGAATGTTGAGGATTGCGATCGATTGTAAGGATGAGTGTATCTTATAGGGCATATCGGTATTGTTGATTGGCTGGTCGGTGGACCGTATTCGGATAAGGTCACTGTGAACTGCTGCGATCAAGCGGGTGTTTCTCTGATATCATGTGTTATCAATTGTTACAAATTTATCTCTGATGAACGAATCGTCAAGCAACTTGAATACCTCACATGTCAGTGATTACTTTATTTTCATTATCGAACTCTCGTTGAAATTCCAGGCGATTTGTGCACAAAGAGTATTCTATTTTAATGTATTCATTTGAAAATCTGATGGGAGTAAGTGTTTAGCAGAAAAAGCGTAACAAGCAGAAGAAAAGCTCATCACTTCAGCTCAAATCCCGAACACACGAAATCAGAGTATAAGCAATTGTTTATAAGAGCCATAATCGAGAAGTTTATAAGAAGTTGTTTAGAATTGCTTACAAAAGCCATAGTTGGTCTTCTGCATGCAACAATAACACCAGTTATAAAAGTAGTACTGAGGATAATATTTTATGATAGAATCGTCAATAACGTTAATGAAGACGATGATATCGGCCAAACTGTAAGCTCCTTGTCCTGCAAGTGATAAGAACGTCCTATTAGTGGAAACTATTCTCAAGGTGACAGAACTCCCCAAACGAACTCTTTGATCTCTTCAGGTCTAATATTTGTTCAAAAATTCAGCAAAAGGCGCGGACTGTTCGCTGACAGATACACGAGGCAATAATGCATTGCATTATTTCGCGTCGATAAACGCGAAGTTCAAGATTGATGAGGCTCAGCTTTATGAGGGAATGGAGGTGCGCGATAATGCGACACGACTGACGAAAGATGATTATCGCAGGTGTATTGATCTGATTCTGCATGCGGGTGCCGGACTACTGGATAAAAATGAACATGGCTAGTGCTAATTGTTTATTGAGAATGAATTCACATCGTATTTTGTAAGAATTTCAAGTGATTTTCCTATGATTTATATCAGTGAATTCAGATATGAAGATATGTTTATGCTGGGAAATTACATTTCATTTGAATGGCATAGCGTAAGGGTTTGAACGAGTTAGCGTAAGGTTTCAGGCGACGATGCCTTCCATGTGGCTGTCAAGACGTGTAACTTGTATCTGGCCGAATGTCTCCTTAACAGAATGATCGACGAAGGACTTGATGAGGAATCGTTGAGTGAGAAAGCAGTCTTAGCGAGTAATGCATCGAAAACGGGCAATATACTCCATCTGATATTGGAATTACCTTTTAAGGTCGGTTTTTGCACTATGTTAATGAAAATCGCAACAGCAATAGTCATAGCAATAGCTATGATGAAAATAATGATAACTGCAGCGGTAACAATAGCTATAACACAAACCGTACATAATAGCAATATCTCTTCCGAATGTTCTCATATTTCAAAGTTTTATCTATCTCATTGTAAACAAATATCTTTCTGAAACTACAAATAAGCTGAATATCTTTTGATTTCCTGTTAATGAAAACATCATATTGTTGTTATTATTGCGATTTAGCGTTGATGGTGTTGAGTATATTTCATTGAAGGTTTTGAAAGAAATGAAACTCTGGACGCACAATGTATGTCCAGCTGAGGATCAGTACAACGTCGTACCTCTACTGCAAAAGATTATTGCCCTGAATTCGAGCCGAGTGATTGAATGGTTACAAGAGGAAGATGCAAAGGGTCGCACTCCAGTCGTACTCTTTTGTCAGCAGTATGTGGCTGCTACGATTACGAACTTTCATAAATACAATGAACAGGCGAAAGAAAAGTGTCAGGTGAATGAAAAGAGATATCATCATGCTTGGAAGATATCAGTATTGTGCAGAGTTCATGGTAGGGATACCGGTATGATATAGGGATATGGGCAAATGAAAAAGATTGCGGTGAGATAGTTATAAATAGTCCGATATTATGTTGACATGCAACACATGCGGGATCATGTCCTCAGATAGAAAGTAGATTATGAGATAATCCTTTGTTAGGCTTTGGCTATGTGGTAGCTGCGAAAAGAATATGATGTAAAAAAATCGCATGGTAATGTTGGTATGTAAACTAGCCATCTGTAACGGGCAAAAAATGAAGAGGCATATGCTCAGAATATCATTCAGCAGCAACAGAATTGTGAAACACATGGAAAAATTATGATAATTCAATGTGTTATAGAAAAATATGAGTCTTAAGATGACAGTGTCACTTACAGGAAGCTTTCGAAGAATTTATGCATCGGATGTGCGATGTATTAGAGATGTTGGCTGTTTTCGATGGAACTGTTTTGCTGCAAACGTTCGATGTCAATGGCTCTAATAAGAAGGAATCTAGCGAGAGTAATGCTGATGATAACGAAGGAGAAGAAGAATCTGATGGAGGGTGTAATTTAGACGGGCTTTTTGGTAATGCCGAACGGCAAGATGAACCTAGCCAAGAGAACGAAAATGGCTCTGAAGGTGATGGAGATGTGGCGCGACTGGAAACATCAGATTCTCAATTGGTGAGAAATCCAAACTGATCGATTTTGCAATTTATGTGGATTATTTGCTCACTGAAATGATCTCATCTCATCTATGTGGAAATAGTCTGGTTTCGTTGATGAATATTACGTAAATCTGAATCATCTGTATGAAAAAGGATTCAAAACAACTGATGCGTTTATTCGGGTTGCTAATTTAGGCTGAAAGCATAGAGCCAGAAGCGAAAGCGAGCCATATGAATGTTATCTCATACGGACTGCTGGGCAATCAAGAGATTCATCGAACCGTGTCAACGTTTCAAGTACGCAATAGAGAGTATCAGCTGAAGAATGAACTACTCATCACTATGGTGGAAGTGGCAAAAAAGACTGGAATACTTGATGTCAGTCATTGTTTTCCTCTTATATTCTCCTTCTTAAACTATCGTAATTTCCGTTCGCTTCAGTAGCGATAACAGGTAGTAATTAGTAGAGAATTTTTTTAACATTATAGAAACTTCTTGCGCAACGTGATGCCGATGAGTGTACTCCGTTTCTCTACGCGATAATGCATGAAAATTTGGAAATGTGCTTATATTTGATGCAACAACGTGTGGCCGCCATTGATTCCGACACAATCAGTCGTTATTATAGTGTGAAGAAAAAGAGATGTTAGTCAACAGATTCTTCAGATTCAATTTCTCAACTTTTTTCTCATTGCTTCCAAAAAATTTCTTTAGCTTTTTATTTCTTCGTTCAGTTTTTGCAAACTATTTCAGAATATGTCAAATATTTTCCTCAGATCTCATTCGGATTTCATTTATGTGATTCATTCGAAACTCGCTTTGTATTGCACATAGTAACGTCGTTCTTGAACACTGAGCGACTACTCATATTGCCGTGCTTGTTATAACGTGCA